ATCGAAATTATCAAATATGTAAGTACTCGTTAGTTCGAAGAAAATGCACTGCGAGTTTTTTTTTTCACTTTCTAGATAAACTGAACTTTTAATTTTTTCAAACTTCAAATGATAGAATTCATGCGATGCATTTCTGTCGTAAAAATTACAAATTTTCGAAATGGCAGAATTCAGCTGACGTTAATACTGAGAGAAAATGGATTTGTGGCATTGCAAATCAATGTTTGGAAGTCAAGAGTTTCATATTCACATGCAAGCGTACTGTTATTAGCTTAAACTCGAAATGACAAGATGCCTGAGCATAGAAAATGTAGTATGCCCCTGTGGCATGATCATTAGCATCATTGTATGAAATATTAATTTGAATTTAAATAATTTGGTTCCTTGGATTTGTTCGACAATTTGTTGAATTAACTCTTCTCTGATTTATAATGAACATATTGGTTCCAAAAAGTGTGTTTAAACATGTTCCGCATCGATATTTCAAAAATTGTTCGGTTCCGGGATAATCCCAGGATCAAAAATCGATCCGGAAATTAAACCCCGATCCCAGGATTGAAAAAACGGCGGGATTTTGCAAACCCTAGAAGTGACTGAGTAATATCAGCAGACTTTCTCTTTTGTATTCAGAGAAAACTGCCAGAATTATCTAATATAAACGATTTTCACATTATGCAATCTGTCTGTATAACTGAGTGGAAAACACAAATTTTCAAAAGATTCAACCGTACAGTTAATCACAGTCAGCTTCTGTAATCATAAACAGAAAGACTTGCATGACACAGTTGCCAGAACTGCTCACGGCGTCCAATCAATTTCTTCTTCCTCGCACTCTCTACGAACGGCGTTAACTTTCGAATAAAGTCGCTTGTATAACAATTCATTCGATAATACCATCACAGTTAATGCAATGAAACATAACAGGCGAACAGCTAACAGACCAGACTCGCGAAAATCTTTACAGTTTGCAACTGATAAAAGATGAGCAGTAAGAAGTGTCCATACATAGAATAAAATAATTTTTCTGAAATAAATTTAATTCACAACCCATGCAAGTATGAGCTAGACGAACAGAATTGTCGTGAAACGTAAAAATGTGATGAGATTAAATATTGAATCATTCCACAACACGAACAAAACGACAGCTAGATGAATATACATTCTATAGAACGAAAACGACAACATCGATTGTAAGTTGTTTAAAACTGTTCCTATTCTTTATACACTCCAATTTAGTCACCGTCAGAAACATTTTTGTCAAAACTTTGTTATCGCTCTAAGAAATGAGAGATGACACTGGAAAGCAACACTATGAAGGCGATTCATAAATTTGAACACAATCTCTCGAACATTGCAGACAGAAACAAGTCCACATGAAACATCATTAATAATTAAACTGCAGTTATTCGTTGAAAGCAATAAACAGTAAAAGCGATAGATGCTGAGAATCAAACACTGGAAAGTGCATCCGAAAAATTCAACAGTTTACAAGCAAAAAACACCGAATACCAATAAAAACAAAGGGGGGCATAGAAGATTATTTTAGTATGAAGCTTCATTTCAACTTTCGTTCATGAGATTATGTTTAAGAAGGACACGAAGAGACCGTTTCAGTTGTACCAACGTCGCCGTTCTCATCGACTTCTTTACTGCTGCCCTCGTTCACGGTGCCTAATATCACAGCCATTTTTCGTAGTGAAAGTTTGCATCCTTCCGAAATTGGACACAACGGAAATTCTGGCTCAGCCTCACCCGACTGCCATGACCAAATCCTTTTTTTGATGCTGAAAAGTGAAAAAGGGAACAATCATCATGAAGTAAAACAGAATGTCGTTCGACAAAAGATAGATATAATTTCACAACTTCAAATGTAATATCTAATCTTATTTCAACGTTTTCCTCGAATGAATGCATAAAATGCAATGCTTGCAGGAATCTACGACGACATTAGATTCACTCCGTACGACAGTTTATTGAACAAATCATGCAAATGAATATGATCGTATTTGCAATTAGAAATGATATAAGAAGCCACGTTAAACGTTAAGTAGACTCACGATGGAAGAACTGCCTGGCAGTGCTCTTTGATGAGTTGTTCGAATCCCTTCGGTGGAAGCCGCATTATTCGATAGAAATAATCCAGTGAATTCACTAAGGCCATTTCGTTGTAACGACGAGATCTGACAGCATTAAAATATCTTTCGAAACTATCACCTGATCTAATCTTTTTTTTTCTTACTAGAATTGAGTTCACTTGGCCTGATCGCCTAGCCAGCGGGGTGGCGTCAATCAAAGCTAAAACAGTGCGAACGGAAACGCGAGCATTGTGGCCAGCAACGCTATAAACGTTTGATAGCCTGGCTAATCCAGGTAATCCAGAATTGAGTTCATAGAGAGAAGTACGATTTCTTAATGAAACAAAAAATGCCTGATCGTTAAGATATTCGAACGATCGATCACCTCGTATGAGTAGAAATACGAAATTCTCTCAAATATACTGATATTAAGGCAAGTTTTCAAAAATGTTTCGCAAGAAAAACAATTTTCACAAGTGACATTCATTTCACTATAGTAGTTACGAGCTTTAAGCACGACCAAATTTGATCCTTCTCATAAAAAGTAAAACCAATTCTCTTTGAGGATTTTGTTGCAGCTTTAAGAATTACTCTTTTGGAAACGTTAAAGTCTTATCGATGCAAAGAGTGCATATAAAATCAATACCGTTCCACTGCAACAGGTGCATTCTTTCTCGATTCGTAACCGGCCTCATTGAAATATGGCTCTGCGACAAGAATGAGTCCTTGAATCGAAAGAAACACTTGCAGTAAATTCGATTCACTTGTCCATTGTTCTGAGCCCTTGAAAGAAACGATAAAATAAACAGCACGTTTTTCGATAAAATGGCAATTGGAACCAAACTTTTTTAGGTGAAACACTTAAAAAAGATAACCGGCAACAACTTAGATGGTATATAATAGGGACCTTCTCATGGTAAAATATGAAAATCGAAAAAAAGAATCACCTTTCCATTCCACGTACCCAAGAGACTGATACAAATTTTGCCAGTCTGATAAAGATTTGGGTTGAGCTGTTCTTGTGAGAATGCCCAATAGTGAACAAGTGGTGGTTCGGCTGGGTACGTGGCCGGTAGATGAACATCGAAGAAGAGAGGGACGTCTTCGAATGGCGTACTTCGAGGGCCGATTATCACTAATGACAACAAATCTAACCTACAAGCTCATCACTTCATCACTATTATATGGGTCGTCTATTCGGAACCCATAAAAACGGAAGATGCTGCATCAGGAAAGGTACCCATACAGCAGTGGTGATAACGAAACGAATGTACAACATAAATTCAAAATAAATTCCATTTTCAATCCATCCATGAACAATTTTTGTCAGCTGTGACAAGCACCGAATAAAGAAAGCGAAAAAAAAGAGATGTAGCGAATGAGTGATCTTCAACTAACCTATCTTCAAACGCTCGAACGAAAATACCATCAGGTAAATGTTTAGAGAGTAAATCGAGTTCTTTGTGTACGCAACGCGCAAACTGACGATCGGCACATAATGATTTTGAATGGAACGCATGTGTACCTGAAACATATTTCGTTAGAACAGTATTTCGTTACAAAAAGGATGCTAGTTGACTCCACTGAAACATTTCACGTAACTTATTATTCACACAGTTATGCAAATTGGGCTCGAAATAAACAGTAAATCATACACAATGCCGGTTTCCGTGATCATTAGCGAACAATAATGATGATAAAAATGATTTGAAAATGGAAACACTCAATCAATCAACGAAAAAACGCACTCGGTGCTTCATTAATGAAATCAAGTGCAGGAAATCTACGACTACGATCCTTATTAATCGTCAATGACGACGATAATGGCACACGATCGTTTGTCGCGTCATCATCCACTTCAGTCTCTTCTTTATTCACCTTTATATGATCCTGCAAGAACACACCACTACAATCACCGAATATGCATCAATTAGACAATGTTCAATGAGTTGTTTTCGAGTGAATACATGAAAGATGAAACAAATTACGGATGGCTTCCGTTCATTTTCATCTCCTTCCATTTCAACATCAGCTGTTTCGGTTTTATTGTCTCCTGAGTTAGTGACAGCACTCGGCAATGAATCTGTTCCCGACGCTTCAGTCGAAACCAATTTGATTCGATTTGTTATTTGTTTAAAGTATTTCTTCAGTGCTGCCTTAAGTAAATTAGTGAAATTCATCGATTCCATATACCACTTTTCAACGATACGCTCCATTACATTATCCCAGCAAATTCGCGATTTTCCTTTCTGAAAACATTCAATGCATTTGAGCTTCGAAAGGCTGAATCTCTGAAAGATTCAACGGCATGTGCATTTCCATAAACAACAATTAATGAACAACATTTTGTCGTAACAACAAATATTGAGCAAAATATTACATTAGAGAGGTTCTGTAATTGTGTGGCAGATTACAACAACGATTAATTTTGAATTAATGCTATGAATCCTTCAAGCACTTTAAATACACCAAATTTTTCAGAAAAACACATCCCGCCGGTTGAGCGCATCAAAAGTTTTCAGTACGAATAACAACAGAATCAAACGACGGAATAACTGAATAATAAAATACACAAAATAAGGCACAAGCTAAAAACAAATGACTTGAACAAATAAATAGATATGTAGTGAAAATGCAATAAAGTCACCTCTTTTTCGAGTAATTCATCAGTCTTCGCGCTGTAGTAGCAATGGAGAATCCTACGGAAATCTTAAACAGTTGAATGAGCAAATTAAATATTAAATTCAAATATTGTTGAGCTTGGTTTGATAACTTCTACCCTCCATGCATTAACAAAGCTCAGAATCACAAAAGTGCAACTGATTCATTGATACATCGAATAGTTTCAATATTTGACTGAATTCAGTTCATCTAATTATCAAAACACCCATTATACACAAAACTGAATGAATTTTCTCGATACCAACGAAATGAAAAAACTGACTAGACTCAACGTGTCCATATGAAGCAAAGAAAGGATTTTCATTGGAAGAGCACAGAATATTGTGGAGAAGTGTTAGGAGATATGTCGATAACGCAGACGCTATTGAATACATCATTTTGTCCTCTTTTTTGCTGAGTTCGTTAAAGTTTGGTATGACTGACTCGGTCTTATTGTCGTCCTCATCATCGACAGCATACTTCTAAAATCAATAGAAAATGAAGCAAAAGGTTTACTTTACTTATAACTTTACTAATTATTAATCACTTATAATTTACTTATAACAAATATGTTTGTATGGGTGGACCCAGTTATCTAATGAGAAAAGATTGCGGCTAAATGATGGGGAATTTGTTGTTTTTCTTTGAAACTTCTCATTCGCATAAAATTATTAAAGCTTCTTAAGCTGATTAGGTTGAACGAGCAGTTCACGATTGAAGTCTACTTTCTCTTGACAACCCGTTAACACGATATCAATGCAGAATAACAATCAGTGTACAACGAAAAATGTAAATGATATCAGAATATTATCAAATCACACAGATAAAATTATGAACTCTCATAAAATAATTACAAAATTTGATGAGAAATGTCAGTGATTCCGCAACGCATCCCTGTATTCTATCGAAATCATTGCATAGACTCACCTTTATCGCATCTTCTTTTCCCACACTATTCCTTGATTGATCATCCGTCTTATCATCAATACTGTGTTCTTCAGCTTCAGTCGATAAGAATTCACCAATAAATTGATTTAAGGTTTCCTTAATCATATTTATATCCAGATCTGTCCAACTCGCTTCCAGCTGTGGCATTATATTATCGACGAAATCGAACGAATCCACTAACATATGACACTCGAACGATAACTTTTTATTCTGAAATTCAAAACTTTTGGTTTATGCGAACAAAACTGATTATTATCTGTATACGAAAAGCCGGCCGTGTCAATAAGTTATATGAACAAAAGCAAACAACCTGACTAGCGTTATCGCGGTTATTTTTGTCGTCCTCGTTATCTTTCACTTTTGACTTTTCCGAATCTCCCTTAGAGATATCAGTTTTCAATGTGTCTTCTGCTACAGTCTCCTTTTTGTTCTTAGACGTTTCTGATGCGTCAGCTTGTTCACCCGTGTTGTCATCATCCCATGTCAATTTGAATGGTGAACCTAGAAACACATAAGCATCTTCAAAAAATAAAGAATTGAATCATCGCTGGCATAGATGTGATCATGAACCATTCTATTCAGTGGCTCAACTTCAAATATCAAAAGTGAAAAAAACGACTCACACTGAAGAAAGTCGAATGCACGGAAGAAAGATGGTTGTTTATTGCAGTCTAAAGTAATAGATGGATCGCTGACTGAATCGAATAGTGAACGCAGCTCAACAATCCAATCATTGAAAAGTTTCTCGAAGAAAAGCATGCCTGCTGAGAACGAAAATTGTTTCTGATTGATCGTAAGTGATGGAGACCTATAAAAAGTTGCAATATTAGGGTGCCATAAAGATGTGAAAGCTGCACTGATTTTTTTGTAGCTTATATCTAACTTTCTTTTTTCTCATTTCAGATCCTCCAAAATGTAATTTGAATATTACATGTGGAGCGTGTTTCCGTGACGAAAACTCTTCTTTCCACTCAAAACAAGTAATCGTTAACAAGAATCAAAGAAATTACAAATGAACTTATAAGGTGAATGGATGTATCAACGAAAGATAGCAAAATCTCTCAACTAACTTGTGATCCTCATCAAGAACCAATTTGCAGTTCTCGTCGGCGGTCATTTCCTCAAATGACCCGATCATATATTTCAATGAGGCTTTCGCTCGACTGAATCAATAACGGATTACAAGACAAATGTTCATTTAGTAACGATAATGACAGTGAAAAAATGTTACTTGTCCGCAAGGAATTGTATTACTTCAACGTAAAATTATTATAATCACAGCTGTTGAACTACTGATTTTTCTGGCAGCAGACTGAATCAATTACAGAAAGAGAAAGAGGGTATTAAAGGAAGAACCTTTCGTCATCGTTATCTAATTTCAGACGTTCAATGCGTTCTTCTATGTAGGTGAAGAAGAACTCGTTCATAGTGTAGTGTAACGCCAACGTTGAATTTTTGAGGCTGTAACAGTCATCTTAGGTCATTGTTATCAAATTACACTCATAACTGATACTCTCAAAGGTTTTTCCTAAACAATGAACATCACGGAGCTAGTGCCACCTGGACATAAATCCTAATTTCAACTGGAAAATAAACACTTCTTTAATAATCAGTGAACATATCATCGAATATGCACAGATCAAAGCCATTCAGTTATATTTCTTTACACTAATAACGTTCCAAAAGCTTGATTTTGCCAACAAAAAATTTATGCTAGTTCAATTGATAATAAAAGAATGAACGTGCAGCTAAAGCAAACGAACCAAACTACAATAAAATTAATCCGTGCCATAACCTCACGGCTATCAATCGAATTCTTCTTCTCGAATTCGATTTTCGTTTCTTTTAATATGGCTAGAATTTCACTCAAGTTGAGCGCCTGCCCTTTGATTGTTTTCAACCAACCCTCTGATGGCGACTGCAAATCGTCTTCTAAGATTTTCGACTGAAATTAATAACTATACGCGAATACTTCCATCGATCCAGCAGTGATCTATATGTTACTTGTAATACGATAGTACAAAGATCAAAAACAAAAAAATTCTGGTGTTCAATGTTCGTTTCGTTGCAAATTTCAAAAGTACCATATGGAATAACTAGTCATTAACGGTCACTCGTAATCGTCTCGAAAAGCGACATTCTTGTTAAACGATTTCGTTGGATGGAAGATTCATCAACAAAAATTGAAATTCAATGATTAAAAGCAATAAAGTACTGCCGAAACAATCAACAAATGAGCTCAAATGTAAATAAATTCATATGAGTATAACATAGAGATTTTGTTAGAAGATAAATGGACTATAATTTTTTGTGAAGTAACAACCGACTGAAAAAACAAAGGCACTGATGAATAGCTGAATAAAAATTCATCGAGTTTATCAATCACATCCAGTTCAAACTTACATGTATCGCTTCATCGCCGCTGATCTTTACTTTCAGAACGCTGCAAATGAAGTCACTTTGAATAATATGAGTGAGCACGACGGTGCTTTCAACTGATAACAAATACACATTGCACGAAACTGCATCCAATGCAAAAGCGTTAAGAGTGAAGCCAACATGATCTGTTCGATTACAGTTTTTATCAGTTGTTAATGGTAGTAACATAAGTAACTAACTCTTGAGGAATGAGAATTCTTCCATTCATTGAGAACAAATCGTGATCATTCGCTGCAGTTTCAGTGATCGTGATCGATAACGACAAACCCGACGATGCCAGCGTTGGGTCATTGATCACCTATGTTCGAGTCATTCAAGCAAATAACCCATTCAACAACCATATCCAGAGAAAAAATATGAAAAGTTGCACGGAAATACTGAAGAATCGATAACGTATTCCCAAATGAATAAATGACTCATAAACGATTACCACTTTGATATTGATAAACTCATTACTAGATAAATAAAGAAACAACAACTGAAACAATACATCAATGTCAGATTCGTCATCATTCGAGTCGATGCTATTCCAGGTTTCATCATCTTCTGAATCAGTGCCATCCTCATCGAAATGCATATCCATTTCTTCATTCGTCACCAATCTTAACTTTTGCAATATTATTTGCAATATCGATAATCGAATCGCAATCATTCTTGTTCAATCCATTATCTGATTGAGTTTTCAAAATTCAAAGTACAAGATCCAACAGTAGTTTGGACTGAACGAAATTAGAATAATATACCGTAGATGAATGCAAAAAATTTCCATCGATAAAGAATGACAAAAAAGAAACGACTAATTGCGAATATAAAATTGAACAAGAAACAGTAAAATTGGAGAAAAATGTTTGAGAATGCAAAAATTGATCGGATGAATCAATGGAATTTTCGATGGGTAACTTTGGAGAATTTAACAACTGAAAATGTTTCCGTTATAGAATTGAATGCAGCATTGCTAAAGTGAAAACCGTTGAAGGCACTTATTTCAGATTAAAAACACTTACATTGTTATTTCAATTGGCCAAACTTCTTCTGTTATTCCATTGAACCATGCAACAGTCTAAAATTAAATAAAAAACTCAGTTTTTCATCACTATATTGATTCAATTCTCCTCCTATATCATTTCATTCACAACTGTAAATAAGAAAAAACAGAGCTTTCCTTCAAGTGATTTATTCAATCAGTATCTTTCCATACAAATCTTCAGTTTTTCTCTTTTTCCGACTGAATCTAACTTCATGGAGCAACAAAGTTATTAATCTATGGAAATGTTGATGATAGCAAAAACGATCAGCAGAAATAACATAGAGAATGGCGAATATTAAAAGGAATATTCTGAGAATTTGGATCGAATAAATGAGTAAATGAAAAGATGAACAGACATTTTTTCCATTTTCATTCGTTGTAATCAACTGTCCAATAAGACTTCGTACGTCCGACGATTCCTTCGAAGTCCTCAGGCAAAGACTTCCCCACCACAGACTGCAAACATCATTCATTATCCATTCACTT